TTCCCTGAGAACTGAATCGCTTCACTGTTCTCAATATGGCTTACACTACATTTATATTAGAAGTTCCCTAAGAAAAAATAGAAAAATTCCCATGTGCGATGGCTTGCATCTGGAACCCAGTCCCTTAGAGGCACAGACAAGTGGATCCCAGAGGCTTGCTCGCTAGCCAATCTAGCTAAACTTCAAGCTTTGAGAGATTCTGTCTAAAAAAATAAGGTGGATGGTGATGGAAGACATCCAGTGTGGATCTGCATACACACACACACACACACACACACACACGTTTCCAATGAGATTTCTGAATCCCAGAACAAGCCAAGATTTAGTATTATTTATAATAACTACAAATGACTTACATTTTTTAAGAGAACAGTAGTATTTGGGTTTACCTTACCTTAGTTCCTGGGCTACTAGACTCGGGTTCTTGGTCACTCGAGCAGTGTCTGGTATCAGTTCCGTTCTGGTGTTGGTTGGTGGCTCCCACAGCTTTGTGCCAGCATTGCACTCGCCCGTCTTGATCCAAGAGTTTGTGGTTGGCTTAATGCTTCTGTTAACCTTTTGGTAGCATGCAGAGTACATTTCTGTAACACGGACACTGGAACACAGGGATGAAGGCACCAGCTCAACCTCACTACATTTAATGACTGGTGTAGGTGTTGTCTTCAGGTGGGAATCTTGCTGTCAGTTTGTGGAGAGCAACCTATTGTCTTAGCAACAGCCTAGGTTGCTTGGCGATTTCCATGGGACCCCTTTGGCCAACAACTCAATTAGATGTAAAACAATACAAGGACTGGGAGTTTCATTTGATGACAAGAGATGGCCAGTTGGAGCTCTGTCTCCCTAACTACTTGGTGATTTCAGTTAGATCACCATATACATCTATATTTTAGGAGGTTTCTATTGTATTAGGTTTTCATACTATGCCTAAAACAGCCCATAATTTTAACTGTCTCTCCCTGCATTCCTTCTATTGTCATCCCCCTCTTTCTTTCCTCTCCCTACTTGGTCCTCCTATCCCAGCATCTCCTCTGGTTCCATCCATAGCTATCTGTTCTATTTCCCTTTCCTAGGGAGAGCTAGCTGCTCCCACTCCAGTTGCTTACTCTATACATGACCTCTGTGGTTCTATGAATTGTAGCTTGATTATCATTGACTTAACAGCTAACATCCACACAGAAGCAAACACAAACCATATATCTCTTTCTGGATCTGAGTTACCTCACTTAAAATGATTTTTTTCTAGTTCCATTTACCTGTGTGAATTTTTTTAAATGGCCAAGTAATACTCTATTATGTAGATATACCACATTTTCTCTATCTATTTTTCTGTTGAGAGTATCTAGGTTGTTTCCATTTTTTGGCTATTATGAATAGAGCAGCAAAGAACATGGTTGAGCACGTGTAAGTGTCTCTGTGATGGGATGAAGCTTCCTTTGGATGTATACTCGAGAAAGATCCAACTCACTTCTTCCTGAGGAATTGCCACACTGATTTCTGTAATGGAAATACAAGTTTGTACTCTCACCAGCAATGGATGAGTGTTTCCCTTATGCCACATCCTCACCAGCATGAGCTGTCATTTGTTTTATTGATCTTGGTGGGTGTAGGATGAAATCTCAAGAATAGTTTTGATTTGCATTTCCCTGATGGCTAAAAAACTAACAAAAATGTAGCTGTAGCAGTAAAATGACTCCTAATGATATTCTGCTATACTCAACCATCACCAGAGAAACTCCTTCCTGCAGCAGATGGAATATAGAGACCCACAGCCAGACATTATGCAGAGAATGATAGTCCTTGGAACACTCGGCCCTAAGTGGGATGTCCCCACCAAATCCCTTCCCTTAGGGATCAGGGAACACTGCAGAAAGACAATAAGAGCCAGAGGGGATGGAGGACACCAAGAAAACAAGGCCCCCTAAATCAACATGGTCGAAGCATATACGGACTCAGGGACTGTAACAGCATGCACAGGACACACACAGGTCTGCACTGGGCTTCCAATTCAGTGGTTTTGTGACAGCATGCACAGCACACACACAGGTCTGCACTGGGCTTCCAAACAGTGGTTTTGTGGGCTCCTGAAGTGTGAGAATGAGGGGTCCCTGACTCTTACACCTTCTCTTGGGCTCTTCTCCTGTTCTTGTGTTTTTTAATGTGTTAGTTTTCGTTTTATATCTTACTATATTTTATTCTATTATTACCCTAGAAGCCTGTTTGCTTTCTAGTTAGAGACAGAAAGGGGTAGATTCACATGGAAGGGGACAGGGAGAAACTGTGAGCAGCAGAGGAATGGGAAACCATATCAGGATATGTTATATGAGAAAAAATATCCACTTTCTTTTTTTGAGCAATATAAAACGGATTTAATGACTATAATAATAAGCAAGAGGACACTGAATTGGGTAGATAGGGAATGGGAGTGGATCCAAGAAGAATTGGGGAGGGCATTGAGTATGATTAAAACACATTGTTTGAAACTCTCAAATAACAAATACAATTTGAGAAAAAAAATCCACTTTCAATAAAAGGGATAAAACGACAAATACCTACTAGTTTTCAAAGATCGTGATTTATAGCAGAAAAATAGTCTTTATAGCTTTAAGTATGTAAAAAAAAAAACCCCGATTTCAGGAGTGTTTGCTTGCATGCTTTTTGTATGTGTAACAAATGAATGTCTGGTATCTGAGGAGGACAGACGAGGGCATCACATCCCCCTGGAACTGGAGTTACAGATGGCTGAGCCACCCTGTGGGTGCTGGGAACTGAATCCAGGTCCTGGTCCTCTGCACCAAGCAGGATTCTCAGTTGCTGCGCCCTTTCTCGGGCTCCTAATTGTCAGATGAACTTCTAATGTATCATGTCCTTGGGATTGAAAACTTGTTCTGCTTGAGGAGGCACACAGCAAAAATGACAACAACAACACACACACACTCAACATGCACACGCTTGAGGGAATGACACCTAGGCACTTAGTGAAAGAGCCTCGCTTCGGCTGAGAGACGAAGGGTGCCAGCCGCATTATTGGAGTCCGGGGATTTATCACTGCACTGACACTCTCTTGTAGAACATTCCTGACCAAGCCTCTGTTTTCTCACATATGCTCTGGTCTGTGAAGACCATAACTTGTCCCTAGACAATGAGAACTCTTCTGGAACAAATTCAATACAGAAACATCTATAGAATGCGTGGCAGTCTGCAACATGGAACCAGAGATATACAGGAAATCAATTGATCCAGCTGGTACCCATGTTGGCTGACCCTTTGATTACCTAACACTCACCAGGCAGGTAGTGCCAGCGTAGTAAGTAAATGGCAAGGATAAAGAAGCATCAGTTTAGCCGGCCGTTGGTGGCACACGCCTTTAATCCCAGCACTCTGGAGGCAGAGGCAGGTGGATCTCTGTGAGTTCAAGACCAGCCTGGTCTACCGAGTGAGTTCCAGGACAGGCTCCAAAACAATACAGAGAAACCCTGTCTCGAAAAGCCAAAAAAGCATCAGTTTGTATGGCAGGATTCTACAGCAGCTGTCCTGTAACCCCAGGATCTAGCAGAGGATGCTTATAAGGGCTTCACTCGTTTTGAGTGACAATTCTAGCATTAAAACCAGGCAGGGGGATGACTAGTTAGAGGCTAGCCTGGGCCACACATCAGAATGTAAGCCATTGTTCCTTCTCTTAGGGAACTCAGTGCTGCCTAAAGTTAAGTGACAGAGAAAGGTGACATACAGCCTTTCTTTCATCTTGGACATCCAACTACATGGGTGTGGAAATATTTCTTCTATCAAACAGATGGTATGCTCTATCACCAGCTTGTAAGTCACTTATGTAATGTCTTTCATCTGAGAAAACAACACACTCCTTACATCATATCAGAAAAGGAACAATTCCAAAATTTCCAGGCAATACAGCTATTTTTCAAATTCAAACTCCCGGTAACCATCATAAATGGTTTCAAATATGCCATTCTTGGCCTTTATTTGCACCAAACCCTGGATAAGCGTGCAGCAAATATGTAATTCCAGCTTATCACTGTCCCACACGAGGTACTTCCACAGTCTGTCTTTCCTTATCCTGGGCATGCCATCATTCATGTCCTTAAGCTACGTGGGGGAAGTGCAGACTCTGGGCTATGCCGCTGTCTCCCGCAGGCTAACAAACTACCTCCGCTCTGCCGTGCCTACATTTGCTCTTGGCTCTTCAGCTTAGTGTGCCGAGGTCTTACCCACTGCTGAGATTTGAATGAAAAGTTTATGAACACTCGGTCCCCTGGCAGCGGTGCTGTTAGGGGATGCTTGCGAGGTGAGGTGTGGCCTTTTAGAGGAAGTGTGTCACTGGAGGTGGACTTTGCGAGCTTTAGGGGCTTGACCTACTCCCAGTTCTCTCTCTCAGCTTCCTGCTTGTGGGTCAAGATGTGGGCTCTCAGCTTGCTGCTCCATGGAGTGCCTTCTGACTGCACTCCATGATAGATTATTATCCCTGTGGAACCCTAAGCCTAAGTGAACCCTTCCCTCTCTAAGTTGTCTTGGTTGTGGTATTTAAATACAGCGACAGAGAAGTAGCTACTGAACCTGTCTTCCTGGTGGCAGATGATGACTCTGACTCATGAAGCCTTTGTGCTGGATGGACACCCTCAGGACCGAGTCCTTTTCTGGTTTGAAGTCACAGAATGTACTCTAGGGGAGTGGGGTCGTGAGAGGCTTAGCAGACTCAGGGCTTTGCAGCCAAGCCTAACGCCCCAGTACCCACACAGTAGAAGGAGAGAACAGACCCCAGCAGTCTGCCTTCTGGCAAACAAAGTAAATGTCATAAATAAAAAGGAGGGTAAGAAACGGCATGAAACGTGGAGCTGTTTTGGAAATCATTTTCTTACACAGTCACCAGTGACCTAATGTGCTGATGAAGAATACAGCTTTATTTCATTTTACCAAACACCTGGAATTGTTAAGAAATTAAGGCAGAGGAGAAAAAAACAAAACCAAAAAACCACAAATCCAGCATATTTTTTTAAACCAGATTTAAGATTTTTTTTTTAATTCAAATTGACTCAAAGCAAAACTTACATTACAAAGAAAGAACAGAATATATTATGATACAACACACTGGGAGTTACATGAAAGCTAAATTTGTGGGCAAACAGCCTTGTCCCAATCCCATCCTGGGCTAACGAGTGATTCAGTAGGGAAGTTAGAAGCGATTTCATATGGTCCACTCTGATCATTAAGCTACACTTTCTTGTGTCTTACGAGGGTGTGAGTCTAGACTCCCTCATGCTCCAAAAGTGACTCCTGCCACTGCCAGAATGCTGACTTCTCCAGCGAAACGCTGTTCCACGCATGACTGATGATGAATTAAAAAAACCAAACAATCAAGTCATCCAAACTAATGAGCACGTGTTATTCTGTAGTAAATAGTTTAGAAATATGGGAATTAAATAATCTAAAAAACCACTCTTACTCTGCTGTACATTTATAAACACAAATATTTACAAAGAAACACCCTTGTTTGCAAAAGATGAGGTTTGCAGTTCATTAATGATCATAATCTTTTATGAGCTGGTTTCTTTGGTGTCTTTGCCAAATGCATTTTATAAAGTTTTAGGAATAGGCTTAAATAATACATTTCAAAAGAAACACAAAAGAATCAGTGGCAAATTTTGAGTCAAGATTCTGGAATAGACAATAGGCCGAGTTTGAAAACACTTGTTTTTCTCTCCTCATGGCCACAGAGTGCTTCTCTGATAATCGAATTCAAGTGCAGACCTGCATATGTCATCATGGTCACAGTGGGAACTATACAGCCTTTCAGTCACCATAAGATACAGTATATGACTGGGGTTCTATTAATAAACAAAGAACATTCTTTTAAGCTTCCAGAAAAATCAAACCTCAAACAATAAATAATAGAATTATAGACTTCTTCATTAAATAGAATTTTCAATTCCAGGAAGAGCGCTCATAATTTTTTTCTTTTTTTCTGAAGTCACAGCAGCACACAGAACAAAGAATTTGCCTTAATATGATCTTTTTACTTGGAATTCCCTGACTCAATTTCATGGGTTAGTTCAGAACCCTCTCCATGGGTGGGGAGTGAATGTCACTTTTAACTCACGGAATAAATTAATACACCCACTGTGCCACTGGGACACCAACATGGCAGTTCAGAGTGCAGACTCCAGGCTCCTCCCACCGCTTCCCATGCTGGGCTTGGGGTTCTAACAGAAGTTACACTCAAGTAACTCTGGTCACCTTGTGTCCCCGAGGCTGCTGTTCATGGGTCCCCCAGCCTTGACCTCGGTTCTGAATAAATAAAGAATGAGAATACAGTTGTGCAGGTGTCTTCGCAGGGGAGTCTCCATGGAGATAACCTTTCAGACAAGGTCACAACAAACCTTGTGTGTGTCCCTATCCACTAGGCTCCCAGCTACTCAGGAACCAGCTATAACTGCCTACATGCACCCTAGCTTGCTGAAGGAGTCTATGGGCCACACTAGCGAGTCCCTGACTCATTTTTCCTGCCCAAGCTGTTTGTTCAGGAATCTGTGTACCATCTAGGCACGTGAAGATTCCATGCTTTAAAGCTAAGGCGACAAACTCTGGGCTTGAGAAAACAGTGCTGCTGGCCTGAGGTCGGTGAAGCTGGAGTCTGTTTAATCACACTTTGGGGTGAATGAGTCTTATGCTCAATGCCCCCAAACTGGCAATTCTGACAAGAAAGGAGAAGCCCTTACCTTGCAAACTTATGATAGCAAATTCATTAACAGTTATAAATATTTAAAAAAATTTGTCATGACACTAACAGTGACATCAGGGCACTTGAAAAGGCTCTCCTCAAACTACCACAATGATGAATGAAGCAGTGAGCATGTGTCCGAAGGCACATCCCTGATGCCTAGTGCCTACGGGACCGCCTCCCTCGCTACCGACACTTCCCCACATTTGGGTCTACACACATGACCAACCAACCCAGAAAATCAAATACTTGTCCTGAAGAGCTTTACTGCACCTACCTCCAAAACAGACAGGAAATATTTAATTAGCAAATTAGCAATTTGCCAGGCTCACAAGAGTGCCCATGAGAGATTTTACCCTTAAGAGAGATATGTATACATATTACCAGGAACAAAACAAAACAAAAACACCGTGAAACCACCCCAAATTATTCAATCATTAAAATCAAATGGTTTAGCAAGAATGTGGGCTATTCCTAGGGAACACTGTATCATCAGGATATGAAATTCGTTCCTTAGAGTGAAATGAAACAGAAAACTTAACGTGACAGTTGAGGTGGCGTACTGTGGGTGCAGAGGGGGTGGAAGTGGTGGTTCCTGCTCTGAGGGCACAGGGAAGCCGGCTGGCCGAGGAACGGGGAGAGAGAGGTCAGAGACCACACCGAGAGAGCAGCACAAGAGGCACTGTTTTTAAAAACAGAGTACACTGGCTTTAAAAACGTAATTCCTTTCCCCATTTTGTTTTAAAAGCACAATTCAACAAGAGAGAGAGGAGTCGAAACACAATGTCTCAGAGTAGTGTCCTACAGTTGTTAAAAAAAATAATTTAAAAATAAGCGCACACCAAAGGAAGCAGAGGTACGGGTTTTCCCCTTGGAAAGCTACATTAATTAGAAGGGAAAAAGAAGTTTTAAACAGCTCATCTGTACTCATTAAAGTTGAATGAGGTGATAGAATTACTGCAAGTTTCTTCGAAGGGAATTTTCCAGCGTCACCTAGGATCTCCTAGGTGAGCCCAAGACCTCCAAACTTAACAAGTGTTCTGCTGGTTTCTAGTACCTCGTTCACCAGTGAAACCAGAGCATCGAACCTGCCTGTGTTTGTGCATTTAGGAAAAACAATGTTTCTAAATGCAGTATTGTATAGAAAGGCTTGGACCTCATAGACTTGGACCAAGAAACCAAATTAAGACCTTCAAGAGTGTGATGTGTGTGTGTGTGTGTGTGTGTGTGTGTGTGTGTGTGTGAGTGTGTGTGTGTATCCCTCCCCTAAAATGAAAACCAAACAAACAAAAAACCTAAAAGTGTATACCTGCCGCCTTCTGACTTCACAGCAAATCAGAAATTGCATAGGATATACTTTGTGCAAGGCCCAAAGCCTTTTGAGTAGCTGGAATAACTCTTAATCTTGCTCACAGTCCAGGTACATCAGATATCATCAAATTTGTGTTTTAAGTAGTCTTTCATGACCTTGGCAATTGGTAGTTCATCAAGCAGCTTCAGGTTTTGAAGGCCTATACACTGTCGAATTTTAATTCGGCACAGGTCCTGCAGTGTTCTGGGTTGTCCTAAAATGACAGAAAAAAGAAAATGTTACAAGGCTACAAAGCACAGCCCTGAAGAGGGAGAGTCTCCACTTTGGGGAAGTGTTGTTTTCCAAGGATGTTCCTGCTGGGGACCTTACAGGCAGAGGGCTAGAACACTGAACTGACTGAAACCCAAGTGTCATCGGGACCTCTGTGTGCTGTCTCAACCATTTGGTCTTTTCCAAAACCCTTTACAAGATGGTAGTGTTATGGTCTGAGTATGTGATTAGAACGCTTATGCCCAGACCATGGCACTGTTTTGGCGAGTGTTGTGGAAGCTCCAGGAGGTAAGAACTAGTACCAGTTACCTGGAGTCGGGCATTGGAAGTTTATTATCCGTGGATCGCATCCTGTCTTGTTTCCTCTTCTCTATCTACTGTGACAACAACAGCCTCGGTTGCCATGACTTTCTGCCCAAACACGTGGGAGCAGTCAACTGGATGTAACAGTCCGAAACCGTGGTCCAAAAGAATCTCTCCTCTTCGGACCGACAAGCAACTAACAGGTATATGCCTCCATCTCTACTTTACAAATGAGGCCCTCTGGATGAGAGAGAGAAGTATGCCGACTGTTGTTGGACAGCCAGTTGTAGCTTAGAATAATTCTGAGGACAGTCTTTCCAAGTCTGGTATCCTTTCTACTATAAATCAAGAAATGGTGGGTCTGTCCTGAAGGTACTCTGATACAAAGGCGAGCGTCTGTGAGTAGTTTCTCTGGGTCTCAGTTTCTCCACAAGAAAAGCATAAACTGAATGAGATGCTTACAAAGGTGGGCTATTTCAACTCTGAGGCTAAGATGCTGGGGCTACGACATAGTGCCATCTCTATGGGGCTTTCAATGATGTCTGCTTGTCTATTCACTGCCAGGGTCAGAGCAGACCCTGGCTAAGGGATGAGAGCTGGGTGGTCCAGCAGCAGGGGGGTTTAGAGACAGTTCAAGCTAGACTGCATCTCTAGCTCACTTCATAATCCACGCCCTGATCATCGGTCAGTAACCACTGTTGTTACTGAATCTAAAACAAAAGCAATAAAATCCAATTCTGTTCCTCCCAACAACTTTGTGTTTATAACTTAACAGTACTGAATTTTACTGACATAAGTAAAACTTCTTTAACATGCCTCAGTAGTGTCTGGAGTCACACTGGACTAACAGTATGAAAAGGCTACCCCATACCAAATGCCTGCTGTTCTATGCACAGCACAAGCTTCTTACATGAATGGAGTCCTTTAATCCTTTTACAAGTGAGGTATACATAGCATCACTCCAATTTACTGCAGTCTCAGAGCAATTAAGTAACCAGCTTCAAAAGTCAAGGAGATAGCATATTTCAGTGGCTATCAAACATTTAGTCTCAAATCCCATATGTTTTTAAAAATTACTGAGGATAGCTGGGCGGTGGTGGCGCATGCCTTTAATCCCAGCACTCAGGAGGCAGAGGCAGGTGGATCTCTGTGAGTTTGAGGCCAGGCTGGACCAACAGCCTCCAAAACAATACAGAGAAACCCTGTCTCATAAAAAAAAAAAAAATTACTGAGGATATGAAAAAACTTTGATGTGAGCAGTCTCTATGGTGATAACCACATCAGAAGTTACAACAGAAATCTTTATAAATACCTGTTAATTCATTAAAAAGTAATTAAAACAAACCAATCACACATTAAAATGAACAACATCTGATGAAAACTATACTTTTAAAACGAAACACAATGGTGAAAGGGAAACAGCCTCTCCCACACACTGTGTGCATGGCTGTACAGGGGATAGCTGAACTTTCTTGTGAACGTTTGCATCCAGTCTCAGGAGAAAAGGAAGATGAAGAGGGCAGATAACACCATGCTGATGCTATGAGATCACTCCGACCTCACAGCCTCCCTGGGAGGGTCCCAGGCTGTACTTGGATAAGCACTGCTGTTCGGAGTCCTTTATGTTTTGCTTGCATTGTTTTTGTAGTGATGTTAGAAAATTAAGTAACTCTTCCTAAGTGAAAAAGAGCTTTCTTAGACTTAGACCTCCTGGTTTGATGTTGGTACTAAGCAGCAGAGCACTTCCCTCGTGAGTGCACACTCCAGGTTCAACTCCCAGCATCCCAAGAGAGGAAGGGAAAACAAAAGACTGAAGACTTCACTCAGGAAGACCTGTATGAACACACTGTTTTCCAAGACTACCACACATGTGGTCTCTTAGGAGTCACAGCACGTAACTGCTTTCTTGGAAATGCCTGTGACTAGGATGCAGATGTGTATACAGAAGTGTACACACGGAAGTGACACGCTCACACACTTGTCTGTCTCTAGACAGATCATGTCCTCCATTTTCCAGGCTGATGCAAAAGCAGGTCAGGTTCTCTGTCACATGCTATCAAGAGATGCCCCTATCATTAGTACTTGACTGAGTCCCTCTAACACTTGACCGTTTAAGACAATACTCCATTACGTTATTTGTTTGCTCCAGGGCAGTGTTTCTGGAGAGTTTGACTGGGGATTCTATTGCAAAAAGTTCATTCACTCAGTGGGCTAGTGGGATAGAGCTGTGGTCAATTGGGAGCTCAGCCAGGACCATCCAGGCCTACATGTTCTGGAAGGCTTCACTCAGTGAAGTCCTAGGCCTAAGTATATTGGAATGCTTTTTCTCAGTTTGTTATTTTTCTTCTTCTTAAGCAACATACTATGCACAGCATCCTCTAATATTTTGGAAGATTGTGATCTTTTAAAGATCTCTTAGTCATATGTAACTTCTGACTACAGAATTGCCTTGAATGATAAGGGCGCATTGCAGTGGTGAAAATCAACAGTGCTGAAGGCAGAATCCACAGGCTCCTTGGCCTACCACTCACCACCCACATGATCTGGGCTGAGGTGTTTACCTGCTGTCTTAGTTTCCTCATAGCAGCACCTACCTCAAAGGTTTTATAAGAATTAAAAAACATGCATTGTGACAAAGTGTTGAGAACATTGCAAAGCAAACTGGAAAATAAACTCTAGAAATAATAGTTACTAAACACTTGCAGGGATAAAATTTCTTCTCATTTTCAGGGAACTAGAAGGCCATCCTTGGAAGGTGGTCTCCATCTTCCTGGTATGAAGATGGTAAGAAAACACGATGGTTAGAAGGGACAAGTAGTGCCCACTAGAAGGGAGGAGCTGGGCCCACTGCTGGACGTTCCCACATGACGTCACTGTGTGATGTCAGCCATATGACTTCAAAGGCCTGGAGACGAAGACTTTCACTGTGTGAAAAGATGTGCATCAGAGAGAGCCTCTGACTAGTCTTCTCTGCAGAGTCAACAGCAGGCAGAGGGCAGTAAGGGTGGCTCACTGTTACTGTTACAGACATCCCGAGAGTTTTCCTTCAGGGATGGCATCTTGGGACCACAAGATTATGATTAAAAGATGAACATTCATTTCTTGTTAACAGATCCCATAAAGGCATTTCCTGAGCACCTACTGCACACTTAGCAATGTGGTGTCAGAAGAATAGAAGGACAGAGAAGAGAAAAGGAGTGGAGGGAAAAAAGGAAGAAAGGGAACGTGGGTGGGGTCGACAGAAATGCGTATCCCACCCACCAGGCATCGCAGGGAATGAATAAGTACTGCTCCACTGTGGGCTTGTAACAAGGAAGGCTGGCAGACTGCTCCTCAGACTGTAATTTATGGAATTATAAACACCGTAGGATGCAGCAAGACCTGTACAGTGTTCAGGCTAATGAACTACAGTGGGCTTATGCAATAGTTCAAAGGGTTACTCCTGCCAGGCTATGGAGAGGAGGCCTATCATTGCTAATGACCAGGTTGGCACAAAAAGGAAATCTGCTTCTGAAGGGCCCAGTTTAGCATAAATTAAAAGCCCTGGGAAAGGCATGCCTTAGAAAAGCAACTGTCCTGAAGTACCTCCCCTTGTGGCTTTTATGAGGGAGACCTGATTTACTTCTTAGGATAAAGATAATCTGGACTTGGGAGATGGCTTGGCTGTTAAAGAGTGTGATTCCAGCACCCAAGTCAACTGCTTACAACTGTCTGTTACAACAGTTCCACAGAATCCAATGCCTCTGGTCTCTGTGAACACCTGTGCTCATGTACATAAACACCCATACATACTTGAAAATAAATCTTTAAAACATACTCATACTCACAAAGGTAGACAAAGACCAAACATTTAAAACGGTCAAAGGCAAGCGCACAGAAGATGGAGTTCTAGGCTTCTTTGTGGTTATGGACACAGTGATGACACAGGGCACTCTTCTCGTCTGGACTGTTTCAGGGTCTACCACATCTCCAGCTCATCAGCACCCACAGCAGTCTCCTAATATTTCTGTTTAGTTCCAGGTCCCGTTGTAAAATTCTACCGCAAGAGTACTTTTTCTTTTAAGACAGGGTCTCATTAGATAGCCCCAGCCAGTCTGGAACTTACTGTATGTACCAGGTTGGTCTACAGTTCACAGAGATCCACATGCCTCTGCCTTCAGAGTACTAGGATTCAAGGTGTGTACCACCATGTCTGGCCAATCATACATTATTCTTTTGCTCTTGCTTCTGAAATCTTCTTACTAGGATAAACAGCTCCTACTTTATAGGCCTAATGGCAGGTCCTAGCTCCCTTAGAATAAGGATCAGAGGATCCACCCACACTTCTAATATACGCAGTGTCCATCAGCTTTCTGATGTAAGTCTATTGGTTATGCTTTTCCTTAGGCCACAGAACACTGTAGTCTGAATGAGACGCCCTCCATCATCTTGAGCACGGGATGCTTGGTCTCCACTTGGTGGCACTCTTTGGGGTGGCCTGGGAGGTGTGGACTTGCTGGAGGAAATGCATCACTGGGGTGGGCTTTGAGAGTTTAAAGACTCCTGCCATTGCTAGTTGGCTCGCTCTGCCTGGTGCTTGCGGCTCCTGCTGCCACGCCCTTGTTCTGCCATCATGGACTTTAACCCTCTGAAATTCAAATAAACTCTTTTTTCTATAAATTGCCTTGGTCATGGTCTTTT